AAGATGATGAAGATCAAAGAGAACCTTTTAAAGTCTAGTCGAAGACATTCAAGTGATGAGCACTTTAAAGAGCTCTTCAAGCATGCATCAAAAAGGCTACAACAAATAAAATACCGAAATAAAAGTGACTATTACCACCGCTTGTTATTGCACTCATCAAACCAGAAATCTTGGCAATTCCGGAGAACTTCGAGATTAGGGCGTAATTGCTTTTGTAAACAAGCACTTCATTTAACGATTTCTCGCGAATTCAAGCTCAATCTAAAAAACTAACAACACATACAGGTAGATGAATGGTTCCTCTATCTTTTGGTATAGTTTGTTCACTAGATTGTTTTTTTATTCGCGAGAAATCAGCGATTGACATGTTTGTTTACAAAAACAATTACGCCCAAATCTCAAAGTTCTCCGGAATTAATGAATGAACTTTTGGGACGTAAAGTCAAACAGAGCTGTTCAGTTTCGTTGAAAATCGGAGATAGGGAGGTCTCTGATGGCATACAAGTCAACAATACGTTCAAGATTTCTTCTATAGTATTGGTGAAAACTTAGCCAGTGGAATTCACAGCGACAAGGATATATGGAATACCATGCCTAGGCAGCTGTCCTCTATCTTCCTTCAGCCAACTGTAATAGAAGAAGTCATTCTACTGATAAGGAACCTAAAAATCAGCAAGTTCAGACAATATATCAGCGACCATCATAAAAAACCACCATCTAGAATTTGCAAACATACTGAAAAATGTGTTTAACGAGATCACTGAGACTGGTGATTTCCCGGAGTGCCTGAAGACTGCTCGTGTCATACCGATATTCAAATCCAGTGATCCCTTATGTGTTATCTCGGAGTTCTGGTTTTCCAATGATCTCATCTACAAAGGACAGTATGGGTTTATAGTTGGATGTAGCACTCTCACTGCTACATGTGAACTAATGGATGAGATAGCTGAAGCGATTGACGGTCGAAAATACTGGGGGCGTTATTCCTCGATTTTAAGAAGGCTTTCGATACTATAAGTCATGGGCTGCTTCTACATAAACTCGAGAGCTATGGTAAAAGAGGGAATGCATGGGTGCTTCTAAAAAGTTACCTATCTAACTGACAGAAATTTGTGTCTGTCAACGATGGGAGAAGTGATCCCAAGAACATATCATTTGGAGTTCGACAAGGCAGCAACCTAGGTCCGTTGCTATTTCTGGTGTTCATTAACGATCTATCTCGCTTAAAGCTTCACGGGCGGATCCAGATCTTCATTTATTCATCTTCATTCTACAGCTTCTTCAAGAATTTTTCAATTCAAACCTTTTGCCGTTAAACTGCAAAAGACCAGATATATGGTTTTCCAATCTTCAAGACGATCAGTTCCAGAGCTTCCGATCCTACAAGTTGACGCCATTAAAATTTGTAAAGTGGGCCACTTCAAATATCTGCGTCTCACTTTGGACAGTTTCCTAAACTGGGAGCATCACATTGAAAACCTAAAGAACAAACTGTCGGTATTGTGTGAAGTGTTTCGAAAAATATCGACATTCGTTCCAATGAACTGGATGATGAACTTGTATTATTCATTGGTTCACTCGCGGCTACAATATTTATTGGGTTTATGGGGAACCGCAAGCATGTTCAGACTACGAGAACATCAGGTACTACAAAACCGTTGCTTGAAAGTCATCTTTAAGAACCGCACCTTTACCCCAACGGAACAGCTGTACAATGACCTGCAGAATTCGCTTCTACCAATTAGAGGACTTCAAGTGTTGCAGACATTAACACACATGCATAGCATTGTAACAAATCCAGCCACACATCACAACATATCAGTCACAATGAACCTCTCAGAAAGATCCAGTAGATTCAACGGTAGTATTCGATTGGTCCGACCACATTCAGAACTCGCAAAAAAAAAACCGGTTTGGTTACCATGGTGGTAAACTGTACAACTAGATCTCAACAATAATCAAACGACAGCAATCCATCGGTTTGTTCAAGGTAAACATCAAAACCTTCGTATCTCGCACTATCTACGATGACGTAAATCGCCAGCGGCCATATCTTGCCTTCGGTTTTGTTGAACACCAGTTTTCTGCCAGGTAACTAAGACTGGTATATGTCTGGCCGAAGCCGCCAGTGATACTGCGCCCCTAATGGTTTGTCCAACGAGATTAGCTGTTCCAACGCCCTCAGCGGGCGTCATCTGCACATCGCACAGTGTGTGGCGTCCTACGCTTCCGATGTCTATCTGAGTCAACGCTCCCAGCTGCCTTCATCTGTCCTTTGGTCTGGTTCAACACCAGATCTCTGTCAACCCAAGGCATCCTACGATTTCGACGTCTAGTGGAGTCGATGCTTCCACCGGCCCTCATCTTTCATTCGATCGGGTTGAACATCAGCTCTCTGCCAGCAACATTGATAGCACGGCATCTTATGCTCCGACATGTAACTGAGTCGACGTTGCAAGTGGCCATCATCTTCGGTCTGGTTGATCACCAGGTCTCTGTCAGGTAACTTAGACTGGTATATGTCTGGCCGATGCCGTCAGTGATATTATACCCCTAATGGTTCGTACAAGAAATGGATCCAGATCCGCAATATCTGCTTCTCGATGACATCGATAAATTGGCATCCATGGCATCTTACGATTTCGACGTCTAGTGGAGTCGACGCTCCCACCGGCCCTCATCTATCATTCGATCGGTTTGAACATCAGCTCTCTGTCAGCATCATTGATAGCATGGCATCCTGCGCCCCGACATGTATTTAATTCGACGCTCCAAGCGGCCATCATCTTCGGTCTGGTTGAACACCAGGTCTCTGTCAGGTAGCTTAGACTGGTCTGGCTGAAGCCGCCAGTGATACTGCACCTCTAATTCTTTGTACAACAAATGGTTCCCGATCCACAATGTTAGCTTGGCATCCTTCGTTCTGACGTTTAGCTGTTCCAACGCTCTCAGCGGTCATCATATCTGCCCTTCAGTCTGTTTGATCACCAACTCTCTGTCAGCATGGTATCCTAAGCTTCTAATGTCTAGCTGAGTCGACGCTCCCACCAACCCTGCTTCACTACGACATCCTTAGTTTAGCATCATATACCTTCGACGTCTGCGATGAATCGGTCCACGTTCCGTTCACTAGCAACTGTCCATCTTCATCTGTTGAACTGTGCACCGACAATCGTCCTACTACTATCCTACTACCTAACTGCCTATCTGTATAAATATTAGAAAAGCTTTCATAACCTCGTCTCCTTAAAAGAGTGTAAACTCACTGAAGGTGTCTCGTGTCATGTGAAAATATCATTGAACTTATTTTTAAAATTTAAGAAAAGATGAGGAGGGTTTTATGCCTACTGGAGGATGAGATACATTGTAATGCTCTACTCCAGCGGGCTTTTCCCTGCTCCATAAAAAAACAGTAGCGCTAACTGAGTAGAAGAGAATTTAAAACTAATAGCTGGTTTTACTATTAAACAAATAATATCAGAACATCTCAATTTGTTAGCGGTGCCGGTGGTGTAGTGGTAAGCGTGATTGCCTCTCACCCCAAAAGGCCTGGGTTCAATCTGGGAGCTGCCTCCCTGGCGTCGGTAGCATTGGTACTCAGTACGAAAAACAAGATCGACGGAAAACAAATCAAAGAAAAAAATCTCAATTTGTTATTATTGTTATTAGTTTGATTGAAATAAGAGTTGAAATATCAAAAAATAATAACTGAGAACCTATGGAATCATATCGGAATAATTTAAAAAATTGTTGTTGAAATATCACTCCAACAACAACAATATTTGGGCTGCAAAATGAGCTATTATAGAAGAATTCAAATAAAAAAAGGTGTGAGCATGGATTCAAAGAGTCTCAAACCCAAGCTGACTGCGAAGTGACGATTTGTTGAAAAACATATAATGTGCCATTTTGAAGATTTATGCAAAATTCAAAATGCCCGAATTGTAGTTCAAAAGAGAATGATTGACGTTAACAAACAATTATGCAATGTTTCATTCAAATCGGAGAAGGTCGCATCAGATCGATTCGTCATTTGGCGTGGAACTGCTCAATATGAAGGCCAATTATCAGTCGTAAATAGGTAATACGTTAAGCACTTTAAAATAGCATCAGAGTTTATTCTGGAGAATCAGAAAAACATCAATGCAATGCAAAAATAGATTGCTCCGATTTATATTTCTTCAATTCTCTGGGGGGTGGGGACAACCCTAAGTCTGGGCCCCATATTTACGAGAATGCTGTTCTGGTTATCATCTCAACCTGATAAGATATAGTTGCATCACATCTGGTACCGTTCATGAATGGTACTCGTTTATTAGGGTGCTGAAGCCGTCATTTACCCTATCAAGTTACAGGACTGACGATTCGGTATTCACAAATTGAAGAAATGCACCACGAAAAATATTCATGATTCCGTATTTTGAATAAATTCTTCAGTTTTCTAAAGATATAGCGATCCCCAAGATATAGCGATGAGAACCTCTAATCATGAAATGGACCTCAAATAAACCTGGTATCACCACTGAGCGTCAGTGTCTGGATGTATTTCCACGCAGTGACCAGGTGGCAAATGAAAGCCACCGGTGACAATCCCTCCTGTGCAAACTAAAGCCCCTGTGGACGACTGTCATCAATTTAACTGTCAAAGTCCGTTCCAGATGAACAAAGCAATACATTTCGATAGGTCGATTGGAACGGATTTCGACAGGCGTCCACTACCTCGTTTTTGCGTGTATGAAACCTTCTAACCCCTTTTACGTCAATTTAAATTCCCACATCAATGTGCAGATTTGAGTTAACAATACTTAAATATTGATATTTGGTTTACCATGTTATTTCAAAGTTCGAGTGGAGGCACTCGAAGTATGTTATCCAGTGGAATGTCCACGCGATTATCAAACAAACGGTCTGTCAGCATATTTCTTACATCCAACGCAAACTCAATCCATTGCTTATCTGATAGTGCAAAACCCACATTGAGCGTGGCAAACACGTCATGAAGTGTGTATTTATTGCTTGATTCTTGGTACATCCATCTTTGATTGCTATTTGTTTCAACATTTTTCAATCCACCATGCGCCTCCACATTATCACTCGCAACTATACATCCGTTTGAGCTTAGTAACGTCACCGTCGCTCATCCGCACACGTTGTCCGATGGTGACGTTGGCGTCCTTCGGTACAATGGTCCGGTTCCCATTGACACTGAAAGCCGTATCCGAATAATGCAGTACACTGCCGTAGTCGTACTGTACGTTGAACCCGGTCACAAAAGTGGAATTGTACTTTTCGAAATTGTGCCCATGGCCCTGCTCGATATTCTCCCACACGATCGTCACGTAGTCATCGCGCTCGGTGGCACTCTGCATGTGGAAGAATCCAACGGCGTGCAGAAACTCGTGAATGATCGTTCCCAATCGAAAGCATCCGTTTTCCAGCGTGTTAGGTGCCAGGTTCAAATCCTGCACCGAATCCTGGTATCCAACCTCCGAGAAACAGCCCACGTTGTCCCCGACGACTCGAACGTACGCCGTGGCATTTTCATCGGTTTCGATGAAGCTGAGACACGACGCATTGGCAATGGTGTCCAGTGCTCGGTGGATGTAGTCGACCTGCTCGGTGGCTGCAAAATGTATCGACAACTTGATTCGTCTGCAAAGTAGTGATTCAAAACTTACTGAAGTGGTCCGGAACGATGTGGTAGAAAACGGTGTTGTTTGGCCATCGATACCGATCGGCCGACAGTCCATTGCGGAGGCCGTCTAGAGCCATACGCTGTTCCAAAGACAGAACGATGTCGCCTTCGAACTTTCCAGCTTGTTGTTCAGCATCGTCACTGATCACGGGAAGACCGAACGTTCCGTAGGCGCAGAAGGTGAGGATTGCACAAACTGTGATTTTGTTCTGTTGTGAAGTAATAGTTTGTATGTAATTAATTTGATTGATTGGAATAGATTTATTGAGGCTACCATCATCTCGAATCTTAATTACTACAGTACGGATTTTTTTCAACAATGACAACGGTTAACAGAAGCGCAACCAGTTTTATATATGCCTGTCAGATATGAAGTGGAATTTCAAGTGGAACATGATACTCAGTTGTTGAAGAGCAGGCTCTATCCTCGGGTTTGCTGTTAAATAAGGTACACCGGGGCAAGTTTAAATGCGAGGTAAGCCGTAACAGTATGTGAAGCACAGTTATCACTGTGATATTTTTTAACAGCATAATATAAACTTAAACGCATCCTATTACTGTCAAAGCAGGTAGATTTAAACAGCTTAGCATGCTCCTCAGTTTTGTTAATTTTAATATCAGTACCGGAGTACCTTATGTGATAGGTAAGCATCAACCAAATGCGATTGAACCGAACTTTTCAGTTGATTTTTTTAAAATGTTCTCATCCTTTTGTTTTATTGCTTTTGTTTAAGTAAATTTGAGAATCTCTCCGAAATTCCCTTGACGCTTTCTTTATAACAATTCAGAAATTATATGCAGAGCAATCCTTGCAAAAATCATGAAATTCATCCTGGGGCGACCCCGGCGTAGTGGTTAACATCAATACCTCTCACGCCAAAGTCACGAGTTCAACTCTCACCCCCGGACAAGTCACGAATGACCCTAGAGTGTTAAAGTGACTTTAATAATAATAAAAAAAAAAAAAAAAATATCCTTAGTTTTTTAAATGATTCATCCAAGAGTTCACTAAAGCTCCCTTTGATGTATATACTAAAATTACATGAATTCTCCATAGATTTTTAATACAACTCACCTCAGATGAACCTTGAAATTCTGATCTATTATCTATACTCTTCTCGAAATTATTAAAAATCTCCTCAGTATTATTTTTTAAATTTCACCCACAAAACTTGATTATCTTCGATTTTTTCTCAAAATTCCCTTGAAACTCTCTGGTGAATTAATTTGAATTTATTTTTGGAACTAACTTGGAATTTGCCTTACAATTATTTTTGGAACTATCCTCAGATATCGTTTAAACTCTCTCGAAATTATTCTCAGAACTTATTTGGAATATTCATTACAAAAGGACCAAAGCACCTTTTTGCAATCAGCTTGGAATTTTCCTTATACCAATATAAAGCTTCAACTGTAAACTCTCCTTAAAATTCACCTAGAGCTCTCAAAATAACCTTGGAGCTCGTCTCAAGGGCTGAACACAATGATATTGCCAAAGCAACGTAGCGGTAAGCGCAAATTTTCCAATACACTGAAATCCGTTTGAAATCTTCTTGGTCACTGGTCTCTTGAACCAACACCCAAATGCTACACATCAAATAACATGAGAATTTAAAAAGTTAAGGGTTGTGTCCAAAGCACGACCGCATTGTTGACGTAGAACTACAAGATTGTTTTTGATGCTCCATTCACTAATACATTAATAATAAAATAAATGGTTTAGACACTTAACTCCAAAATTAACAATTCATTATTCAATTTTTTTAAATTTTTCGGTTATTGAATAAATCCTAAAATTAGGATTACCTTTGGCCGTTTTCTTATTGGTTCGACACAATTGAACGCGTTCAGTAACGGCCCACGTCTGTTTCGCAGGTTTCCCTGCCTCCAGGTCTCTCAGGCGCTTGCGATAATCGCGGAGCTATTTTGCAGCCATGTGTTGAGAGATTTATAAGGTTTTTACAGAATTTCTCAATAAACACTTGAGTCGGAGGCGAACCAGCCTAAGGCTGAAAGCCTCCTAAATAAAGCTAAATTAATTAATTAATAAACACTTGATTTACTTCGAATATTGACTCTATCCAACGCAGAGTGTTAACACTGTACCAATTGGAATATACAGAGAATACTACAATGCATGGTGTTTGAATATGATGTCTGTATTTGGGAAACAATCAGAAAAAGAAATTTTGATTGCCTTTATTTTTGCACCTGTCGGCAAACTACTTAAACTCCTCCCATCATGAGTAGTTTGCTATCAAGTAGCGACACTCTCCCTTTGCGTAGTTTGCCAATGTCAATCCTTCAAAGTAAATGGCAATCAACGAGTTATTAACGAAAGATGAAGCGAATCGATCAAAATCACATGACCTTTGTCTTGGTCCTTTGCCACGACCAGTCATTGTTACTTGTTAGGTAGAATAATGGACTACCTAACCTGCCACCACCTTCCTACTGCTACTATTGCTAAATCATTAGTCGGAAGCATTGTTATAGATGCGTAGACATATTTCTGATCGATTGGTGATAAAATTATTGAAATTGGTCCAGGGCAGCTGAGTTATTAATGCTCTAAATCTTTCATAATTTTGTTACATGTTCCGTTTTCGGTTTTCACAAAGTGTACATATAGAATATAGAAATCACAGACGTAGACCTACGTAAAATATCATTGGTGGCCTTATTAAGTACTGAAGACCACGTAAGACAGATCTGGACATGTTCGGGTACCTCCGGGGAAGTGACCACATTTTTCTTGAACCTACACCCCCATGCAAAATAAAATCGTTGGTGGCCATATTAAGTTCTCAGTACCACGTTGGCCTGATCCGGACATCTTCTTGATATCCCGGAGAACTGAAACTTAAACGTACATCCACATGTGACACATCAAACTACATTGGTGACCATATTAAGTACTCAGGACCACACAGTTCTCATCAGAATTACTATGAAGTTCTCCTCAGAACTATTTTGAACTTCTCGTCAGAACTACTTTGAACTTCTCCTCAGAACTACTCTGAAGTTCTTCTCAGACTTACTCTGAAACTCTCCACAGAAATACTCTGAAGCTCTCAACAGAATTACTTTGAACTCCTCCGCAGAACTACTCTGAAGTTCTCCTCCGAAATAAGTTCTCGTCAGAACTACTATGAAGTTCTCTTAAAAACTGCTCTAGATCTTCGATGAAGTTATTAACATTTTCCTGAAATTTACGAAGTTGTCTAAATATTCTCTGGAAGAACTTTAAACTTTCCCGCTAGTCGGGACTTCCCTAAAGATATCTTTACTCCCCAGAAGTTTTTTTTTTAAATTCTCAATACATTAGAGATCTCTGGACTTCCCCACGGTTCGAGGTACTTCTTCAAAGTGCTCTCACATTTTTTTTTTGCATTCAACAGTGTTATATGGGACCACAGTACCTCTCATTTGGTGGTTGCTACGCCCAATTCAGATAAGTGGTTGCTGAAAAATACGTGTTTTTCGGATCTTGTTCCATCCATATCACCGGAACCAAATGACCGATTTCAGTGTTCAATCGGCTGTCGACAGAAACAGGTCACTCTCGATGTGTGTAACGCGATCGTCTGTTTACTCGGCAGCAACCATTGTGTGGTCCTCTTCATTGTTCTTCATCAGCAGTTCTTTCAGTCGATGCGACGTCGACTTTGGAAAGCAACCGTTTCGTGATGAGTGTGTGACTGATGACCACGTTTTGCGTCCATTGCATTGTCAATTGAAGCGCTCTGCCCCTCGTTGGCGATACTGTCATACAATGAAACCACTGGAAGCGGATCCCGTTCTGATGGAGCAGGCTTATTGGACAGCGGAAGATAAAGTGTTTATTGTGTTGTACCTTTTTGACTATAGTTTTACGATGTTTTGTGTAGTGAATAAGAATCATTGCCTCTGTTAAGTTAATTCAATTGAGCTTTATCAAATAAATTAATTGACCGATTTCAAAAATATACAAAAGCGTTTTATGAGACCGTGAAAAATTTCATTTGGCGGTTGTTGCGGCCAATTCGATTCGATGGTTGCCTCGAACATACCGCTCTTTATTTTGTTACATACACACACACACACACACACACACACACACACACACACACACACACACACACACACACACACACACACACACACACACACACACACACACACACACACACACACACACACACACACACACACACACACACACACACACACACACACACACACACACACACACACACACACACACACACACACACACACACACACACACACACACACACACACACACACACACACACACACACACATACGTTCCTGCTTTTTGTTGTTATTTCTCGTCACAAGTTTTCTTTTGGTTTTTCTCAAAAATCTCCGTAGATTTTTTCATAAGTGCCATAAATTTTCAATTTATCTGCAAATCTGCAAAATCTGCAATATTGCATCTATGGTTCAACTTGGTGTTGATGTTTGGGCTATAAAAACCCACTGGTATTTCGAAATAAACCAGTTGTGCTATGAAGTCTATTCAGGGCAAGTGTTTATAAAGGGCGAACACGAAATTATTGCGACACCGAAAATGTCATGCCAATTTTCTTATAATGTTTAGAATCAAACCAAAATTTTAAGGTAGTTTTATACATATATTTACTTCAAAAATCAAAAGAAAATGAACGCATTTTCGCTTGATGCCCTCCATCAAAGTCTTTACAGTGTCATCCGGTACCAGTTTCTCAGTTTTTTTTCCATTTTCTTAACATGTCCTTCTCGTCTTTGACTGTCTTCTTGCTCTTCCGAAGTTCCCGCTTCATTATTGCCCAGTACTGCTCCACCGGGCACAGCTCCGGACAATTTGGCGGATTCATGTCCTTTGGAACAAAATGGACAGAATTGGCCTCATACCACTCCAGGACACTTTTAGAATAGTGGCATGATGCCAAATCTGGCCAAAATAGCGGAGCTTCGTCGTGCTGCTGCAAGAACGGCAAAAGGCGCTTCTCGAGGCACTCAGATTTGCAGATCTCGCCATTTACTGTGCCCTTTGTCACGAAAGGCTCACTCCTCAGTCCGCAAGAGCAGATGGCCTGCCAAATGAGATATTTGAAGGCGAACTTCGAAATTTTCTTCTTCTTAAATTTGTCGTCCACATCGAACTTGCTCTTGCCGGTGAAAAACTCCAACCCCGGAATTTGCTTAAAATCGGCTTTTATATACGTTTCGTCGTCCATCACACAGCAGCCATATTTTGTCAGCATCTTCTCGTAGAGCTTCCGTGCCCGAGTTTTAGCCGTCGATTGTTGCCGCTCATCGCGGTTT